AGGTTCAAACAGAAAAAGACCATACTTATTTCTGTGCTAAATTATTATCTTTTGGAACATGCTGTCTTTTCTAAAAAGGGAGACATAAGACAGTATTTGAAGATGACGTAGGGAAGAGTTTGAAGCGTCTGAAATAAAACATTCACAAGTGCAGCCTGGGAATATTATCATGGAAAATTAAAGACTTGTTTTCATTGTCTGAGAAAGCACATTGTACATGGAATATATCACCAGGCTTGTTGGCTGAAGTGCTGACGTTTTTGGTAGTTTAAAATAACAGCAGGCAGGTATGTTAAAATCACATCCTTTATTGAACATGTGCAAAAAATAAATTCAAGCCTCTTTAACATAAACAAATGAATTAACAAAAAAATCACTACGTAATAACTGATGCATACTTTCCAAACTTGTGTTGGCATTTTCTCTTTTGTCTGGCTGTCATGTCCATAGGTGCAAAAAGTATAAACAGCTTATGATTGTATGCATTTTTATTAACTGTTTTAATAATGTTTAAATGATGCTGCTTTTGTGTTTCTTTGGTTTAAGTGCTGTATTATGATTTGCTCTGAGAGCTGAATGATATATTTTATTCTTTTAACAAAAAAGGCAATAAATCCTTTATAGATTCAAGCATTAGAGCCCAGTGGAAAATTTTGCTCTGTGAGGCAGGAGATTTATTTAGTTAGTTTGTTTATTTTCAGTTTTGAAAGAAACACACTCAACATCATTATCTTTGGATGGCTGAACACATTAGATGTGAATAGCCTCAAATCCAGAATTCAGCTGCTAAACAAAACACAGAGTTTTATAGATCTCCTATTGACCCTCACAAGCAAAAATCCAAACAGATGGCTTGCACAATGTGACTTGGATTTGCGTCTCCGTCTGGGCACAGGCTTGGAATTCTCCTAACAAGCCTAATATCTTCCCTCCACAAAACCTGGGAAAAAAGTTAAGTCAGAAGAATAGGATAGGTGTGTCACAGTAGTTATTATAGTCACCTCTACCACTGTTGTGGCCAAATGTGACAATTCCTCTCTGTATTCTACATGGCATGTCTGGCCAATATTGGAAAAGTCGGAACCCAATGCTCAATACAACATGTTCCCATCTCAGAACAGCATAACTGATAAGGGCATAAGTATGTGGCTGCTAGCAAGGGCAGATAGCTGTGCTGCTGGCCCTGGAGAAACACAGAAAGGCCGCAATCCATGAGAACCAGCAGCTCTAAGTCTTCTTTGAGAATCAACATTTCTGGCCATTCCAGCAGATACTTTATTTTGACAGGCATCTTTTTTTAGCATGGGTCTAAAAGCCCTTTTAAATGCCACACAAGCACTTAAGGCAGCTGAAGTGAGGGTCACTACTAGGCATTGCCTTACCACGAGAGTGTTAGAGCTTGAAACCCAGAGAATATGGCACATCTCTGGTACTAGGTCTGGTACCCAAGCGGGGCGTCAGAACCAAATAAAACATTTTTTAATTAAGTAACGACTGAATGACCCTAAATATACAACGGGTACTATTTAGAGGTTTTGACTAAAGATTTCAGAAGCAAGAAGACAGCTCCAACAATTGCCATGGGCAGGAAGGGTGCTGGAACAATTTGTATGGGGGGGTGCTAAGAAACACTGAACCAAACTGTAAACCCTATTTATGATGGAAACCATTTCAAGTTAAGAGGTGTGGCAGCATCTCCAGCACCCTTAGTTCCAGGACCAACTGGAAGTAGGACGGAACTGGAGGGGGCCTAGGATAGCTTGGCCATTCATGTCTGTGAGTGATAGGCAAGGCAGCAGATTGCACTTGTGCTGTCCCAACAGGCATGGCTACAGGAAAAACTCTCTAACTGTGCATTGAAGTGCACAAACACTGGAATAGGAGAAGGAGCATGTACAATCGCCCGAAGATGAAATAAATATTAGGTCAGTACCTCTTTCACAGTTTCTTCTAAATAATTGGTTTTAATAAGGTCATTTGTTAAGATACATTTTCCATTAAAGAATATCCCAAACACACTGAAATGTGAAGTACTATTAAATGTATTACTTGTTACAGGGGATAATCTTGCACCAGTAGATAAACACAATAAAAAAAAAATCTAGCTAAATGTTACATTTCTATTCATATATAGGATTTCTCATATATTAGATTAACTTCTAACACATCACACAACCTATTGCATCAGTCTTATATTTTCCATACAAAAAAATGTTAAAACTGAAAAATGAATAAAACAACGAATAGTCTTATAGTACCTTCAAGACTAATAAAATATGTAGATGGTGTCATGAGCTTCACAACCCACTTCTGCAGTGGGTTGTGCTCAGGAAAGCTCATGATACCATTTACATGTTTTGTTAGTCTCTAAGGTGCTACAAGACTATTCATTGTTTTTTAAGTTTTTTTCAGTTACAGGCTAACTTGGCTACCCCTCTGGAGCTCTATGATTCTATGATTCCCATGCAGATGGATAAGCACTGATTCCAATCCCTTGAGTCTAACACACTGTCCAGTGCATTTGTTCTGGAACAGAGGAGAAATAAGCTACACTAAGAAAAAGAGTTTACTTCCTCCTTGGACCAAGGAAGAACCAGGGACTAAACCATGACTCTGAGTCACAATTCAGTCCATGATCTGCTTTTGGGGCAGTGTAATTATGTGGTGTCCCTTTATTTGAGATTCGTCATAATTCTCTTGTCTATTCTGGTATTTGTAAAATATATGTGAAGCATAGCTGATCTTCAGAAAATATACAGTTTGGAAAAAGTATGAAGTGAAGCATAGACCAGTGGATATCTCTCAGGACTATGGGTTAGAATTCTGGATTGTGTTCTTGTTTCTGCCACAGAATTTTTTAACTTCCATCCAAAATGGAGATGACAATGAGCTGAACTAGTACTGAAAATTAACATTTGCAAATGCTTTGAGACCCTCAAATTAAAGGTGCTATAGATGTACAAAATAGGAAGACTATAATTGAATATAGATTTCTTCTGAACTATGGAGGAAAGATTAAAGGTAGAATACCCTTCATAAGTGGGTGGTGAACTTTCATATCAACAAATAATAGATATATTTTAACTTAATAAGGCAACTCAATTTAGAACTCTCCATAAAACACTCATGTGGTGCATTTCTTCAAAAAAAAAAAGTCAACGTAATAGCTTTTCATACATAATTTGTTTTATTGCCAAGTATGATTTCAGCATCATACTAGTGTTAGTAAGTCATATTTTCTTAGTATTCATGAATTTCTAAAAAAGTTACTTAATATAAAGGGCATTGTATGTGCATGATGAGATCAAAACCAAGACAGCAAATGAAGAGCATGTTCTATAGAAAAAAATATATAAAAACTTAAAAGAAGCTTTTAGAGGAATTCAAAGTTATTATTGTTCAATAGTTTACCATCACAACAAGTCTTATGATAGAGACATAATACTCCTTTCTAGATGGAAATTCTGAAGCATATAGGTTAAGTGACTTTCCACGATCCAGTGAGTTGGCAGTAGATGCCACATGTATGTAGCACTATTTGAATGAGCCAGAAAGCACAGAAAATTGTAGGCTTCTGTTGAATAACTTTGAAATTCTCCTGTTACCATGTTGTGCTACTTTTACCACTACCCAGATCTCTTATTCTCACTTTCTCCTCCCCCTTGCAAACCAAGTCACTTGTGGTATGTATTGCTTCCATTTTCTCTGAAATGTACAGGTCTTTCTCTGTTTTCCAGCATCAGCAAAGAGATTCTTGCAACAGGATAGAGCTGGAAGCTTTTGCTGTGCTTTGCTGGTCCTCTGCTCTCGCCTCTAAACCTCTATGCTTCTTTCCTACTCAAAGACCAATCAAGGTGGGAAGAACGGCAAACCTGGAAACCTAATAATCTCCTCTGAAGCACCAGCTGCTCTTGCAGTACTTTCTGGACCTGTGAACTACCTTCCTGCCTGCAGTTACTTATTCTAAATGCAACACTTTTTGTGTGTCTATTTATACTTAGAGTAATAGCAACGATGTTTGAAGCAAGAGATGGCTCTTTGGTCAATCATAGTTTTTCCTTGTTTTCTTCACTTTAATTCATTTGTTCTTCATCTTCTAATCCTTGATAGTTACTTTTTATTCAAGTAGCTCAGTTTTGGTAAACTCTTCCTGATGTATATTCATATTGTCTTTCCTGAAGAGGTTTTGCCCACTTCTGGTTTCTATTCCTTGTCAGTGTACTATGGATACATGGTATGCATTCAGCAAAGCAGCAGACATACATATGGACAGATGTATAAGATGTTCCATTGAAATTCATGGGCCTGCATCAATACTGTTTGATATACACTCTCTGTGTAAACAAATTAACATCTATTAAAGAATGGACAAGTGACAAGTAAAAAAATAGGTAAATTTGTGTGTCTAAACTCAGAAGAAAAATATCCATAGCTAATAATTATTAGAATATTTATAGAACCAATTATCTCTAAAGTATCGTGTGTAAAGTATTCAAAATGTTTTTCAGTCATCGATGTGTTCTTGGTATGTGGGCCACTATTACCTAGCTGAGGTACTGTAATTAAATCATTAGCAAAGGGCAGGCAGTGGTTAAGGATGAGATTTCATATAATGGCGAGGAGTCCTGTGGCACCTTATAGACTAACCGAAGTGTTGGAACATAAGCTTTCGTGGGCAAAGACCCACTTCGTCAGATGCATGCATCTGACGAAGTGGGTCTTTGCCCACGAAAGCTTATGTTCCAACACTTCGGTTAGTCTATAAGGTGCCACAGGACTCCTCGCCATTATATGAAATCTCATCCTTAACCACTGCCTGCCCTTTGCTAATGATTTAATTACAGTACCTCAGCTAGGTAATAGTGGCCCACATACCAAGAACACATCGATGACTGAAAAACATTTTGAATACTTTACACACGATACTTTAGAGATAATTATAATGGTATAAACTGCTAATAGGCTATCTGGTACATTAACAAAAGACTCTTACAAATATAGTTTTCTCCACTGTTTATTCCTGAGCCTGTACAGATTTTAAGAAAAAAGTGATTTCTACATTAACATAACACCAAACAGAACTGCCTAAATCAAACTATAATCCTTCATTCTAGCAACTGAGTTGAGAACTCAGCTAAATCAGAGGTCTTTACTTGCTCGTAACCAGGTAGGCCCCACCAGTCTTATCACAACCTCTTCTATAATATAAAAATGCAAACAAACGAGCAACTCAAGTCAAAAAGTGGAACACACATAAATACCATGGCAAATAAAAGTTCTAATCATATTCCCCATCAGATTGTATTTAAAATGCAGTTTCATTTATGCATGTATACCATTGTTACACTGAACAGTGTTATATTACTAATATTCCATTTTCTCACTGAAGTCTTGTTCTGTACTTTTTCAAACAAAGTAGATTAAAATCCACTGGCAGAAGCAATTTTGCCTTTACAATTAAAGATGAACTTTAATTTTCAAAGATTGTGAGTTTTGTTCCGTCTTTTGTCTTTTTAATCCTCATGAGAGTCTCTAAGTTTTTGTCAGAGACACATTTTTCAGCTATAAATAGGCATCTTTCCTTGCCCAGGCTCCCCAAATTGCCATTAAGATAACCATGATGATCACTGTGTAGAGTGTATGGAGTGTAACTAGTTCATCACTACAGCACTGTTTGGAGCCACAGGAATTCTGCCAGTTCTCCCCAGTGTGTGCTGGAGCTTTCTGTCTGTGAGCACGGAGAGAATGTATTCTGCCAAAAAAAAATATCTAGGATTAAAAGTAGTACTTTTAATTAAGAATATTATAATATGAGAGTGAAATCCAGGAGGCAAATTAAACCATTAAACAGATTTGGTACACAACTTCAAACTGCATAGGGCTAGTAGGGAAATCTCCATAATTGGAAATATGGAACATTTGCCAGCCATTTGCACATCCCTAACACTGACAGGCTGAGTGAATATTAGTCAACATACTGTGCTCTTGGCAAACATTACTATGCATTTATTTGTTCATTTTATTCAACTTTGTGAAACATCTTTCTTTCTTTCTTTCTTTCGTTTTTCAGTGTTCATAAAATGTATCAAAGCATTAGAAACTGAAATCCTCTTTTATCCACAAGAAGAGGTACAGCTTCCTCATATCGCTCTGGCAATGTATGTCCAATTCTGTTTTACTATAGACGGTCACTCTTAGAAAAATCCTTACCCAGTGGTACCAATCAGTGGCAACTGCACTGTGAGCATATGTCCAGTGGTAACTATATTGAGAATGATAATATTTTGCACTTTCATACCACCTTCTGTATCTGGTTTCAGAATACCTTGCAGGCATTAAATATCACAACACCTTTGTGAGGTAGGTATTGTTATTATCATCCCCATTTTACAGAGAAGGAAACTGAAGCACAGGGGAATTAAGGCTAACATTTTCATATTTTTTTTATTGCTACATCAGTTATAGGTGGTTACTACAGACACTGTAGGCCTGATCTTGTGAAATGCTGATTATCCATAATTCCATCTGAATATGGTGCAACAGAAAAGACAGAAGACCAGCCACCATTGTGTTAACCATCATTATGCCTAAAACCACTCTGAGAAAGACTAGATGGTATGATAGTAAAACTCTAGTCTACACTAGTCTTCCCACCATTACTAGCATTAGTGTAAGAGCAGTAGGCAGTGCTTAATTAAGTTTGACAGTTCATAGCCCCAGCACCTTCAGCTTGTTGCCTCAATAATCAAAGGAAAAAAGTTGTTTAAACACCAGCACCTCTTTCATTATATATTGAGCACTGGCACCAGCAGTAGTACAACAATGCAAACACAGTCTTTGGGTAAAGATCTCTTAAGCACACAGATATATGATTGTCATATACTAAGAAAAAGAGCTTTTAGAGCTAATGATTAAAGATGGCTAATAGGAAATGCAGACTGCTGAAGGAATTCCACCATTGAAACAAGAGCTCTGCATATGTTATTTTTCAATAGATGAAAAATGCTTCTATGATTCTTAAATTAATTACTTAGGTCTGGGGCTGTCATACATTTTATACAGCAACAAATAAAATACCAATAATTAATATCTAGCTGTAAAATTTTTTAGATCACAAGAAAATCGCTATAATTTTCAAGCAGTTTGTCTTGCCCCTCGCCCCCCATTACCTATCTGCCTGTAGGAATATAACAAGTAACTTACCTCCTGGAAACATTCATGGTATCCCTGTGATTGAGCTCTCAAGAAGACAGGCTTCCAATCTCTTTGAGGTGGGAGAAGGTGTTTGTGGTGTAGATGGGCAAAGTAGTCCTTTCAATACCTCTGTTCCCTCCCACAAGGGAAAGACCAGTACAGGGTACACAGAAAGACAACTTCACATTCAATAATGTGCTAGTCATCCAGGAAATTCTCTGGACTGTTCAAGAGTAATATAATAATGAGAAACCTCAGTCGTGCTTTCTCCTCCTTCTAGGTGCTGGGATCTTTCCTTATAAACAGAAGCAGCTAAGATGCTGCCAAATTTGCAGAAGCAGCTCGTCCCATGGAGTTATGTGCAGGGGAGGGTAATAGAAATGGAAAATGCAGAAGGATGAAGTGCAAATTGGAGCTGTTTCAGTCCAACCAAACACAGAATGTGAAAATCTAAATAGATTTCTAATACAATGCAGCCAGTCTTTTATGTATAACTACTGTACTTCCTGCAATGTGAGCATTTGATTGAATTAAACTGGAGAATAAATTTAAGTAATCATTTAGACCTGTTCCAAGACTCACAATCAAGTAATTGAGTGAGAGGGACTCCCTAATTGGTATCAGCTTAAATCTGCTTTTAAAATCTCTCATGCTTTGGGAGGAAGGAGTATGCCATGTAGACGAGATGTTTTCAAATTCATTTTCATGTTTTGAAATCTTCTTTCATTTAAATGTGTAACATATGCCTACTGAAAATGCTCCTCCTTGTCTACTCAGTAGTTTACAACATTGGGGCATGTAATGCAGAAAGACAAAGGTATAAGTAGCTAGGAAAAAGATAGAGTTTAGCTTGTAACAGAACAAGAGGGTAAAGGGAGGCTGGCTGGAGAATACAGGACAGAATGAGGAAGGACAGAAAATAGAACAGATGGTAGCAGATGAAAGTAGGTGATGGTAGAAGTTTGATCAAGAACACAAGGTGAAAGACAAATGGCAAAAGTGTGGTATGTCCTGTGGTTGTTGGTAAGAATCATCTTGAGGTTAGGTGGTTGTCTATAGGAGACTATGGGTCTGTCTCCCAGAGCCTCTTGGAGTTTGGTATCCTGTTCGAGTAAACCCACTGACTCATAGAGTTACCTACATGCTTCCAGCTCCCATCCAGAACACACCATATGATCCATCATCTATAGCCAAGCCCTTCGATACAACCGCATCTGCTCTAATCCCACTGACAGAGACCAGAAACTTCAGGATCTCTACCAAGCATTTATAAACTTCAACTACCCACCCGGAGAAATAAAAAAGCAAATTGAAAGAGCCAGACGAATACCTAGAAACCATCTATTTCAAGACAGACCCAAGAAAAACAACAATAGAACACCACTTGTCATCACCTACAACCCCCAACTTAAACCTGTCCAACACATTATCAATAAACTACAGCCTATACTGGAACAGGATCACAAAGAAAAAACAGTTTAAAACCTTTTAAATCTGCACTTGAAAGGGAATCCTCTGAACTGTCATTCATGCTAAAACTCAACACTTTACGGGTAGGTCTCAACAAACACTCTAGTTATCTTACCCATTACAAAGATAGCTTCCCCAATTATCACCTCTAATATCATTAGCTCACAGACATTTACCTCCCCCCCCATCCCTCTTCTGTTCTGAAATTTGATTTGTCCTTTTCATATGTGTTCATTTTTTTAAATTGTATCCTTTGGTATATATGGTTGTGACAATTTTCTTCCACTATTTGATCTAAGGAAGTGGGTATCCTTTGGTATATATGGTTGTGACTATTTTCTTCCACTATTTGATCTGAGGAAGTGGGTCTGGCCCATGAAAGCTCATCATCTAATAAACCATCTTGTTAGTCTTTAAAGTGCTACATAGTCCTGTATTTTTCTTCAGCTACACCAGACTAACATGGCTACATTTCTATTACTTTTCTGAATTTAAGTCAGTCCAAGATCTACCTCAAATCCAAATACCCCTGCCCTGCCCCTTCACCTAGGCCCCATCCTCTTCACTCTGAGAATATAAGGTACAGGGGACAGGGTCAGAGTGACATCAATGCCCCCGTGCTTCTGTATCCCCTACTCTGAACAACAAGCAGGAGGCTCCCAGGGTGCAGCTCTGAGCAGGAGCAGCAGGGCACTGTGGGGAGGGGCAGCTGAAATGCGGCACTTGATAGCCTCCCTGCCAAACCAGTCAGGATCCCCTGTCAGCGGCTCCAAGATCTACCAGTAGATCCCGATCTACTGGTTATACCATCTTTATTCTTCAGTCCACTTTCAAGATCTTTAATATCCAATTTAAAAATGCGAAAAACCAAAGTATTAGGGAATTAAATCTTTGGAAGTTTTTCTGTTTGTTTTTGAACTATTAAATGATTATCAGTATTACCTCATTGTTTATGCTCCTCCATCTATCTACCTTTGTCTCTGGTCTGGTACTCAGCTTGTAAACTTTTTGAGGCAGGGACCATCTTTTTGTCTTGTACAGTATTTGTTCAGCACTTAGCACAATGGGAGCCTGATATGAGATTAGGGCTTCTAGGTGTTTCCACAATATAAATAATAATAATAATAATATTTGAAATGAGAGGGTAAATATAAAACACTGTAAATAACCCTATGCTGTAAGAATTGTGATGACTATTGTTTTTCTGCATGGATTTTTAAATTCTATATTGTTTATTTAGACTTAAGGAAAATAAGAAATGTTTCTCTCTGCAGTCTCGCAGCCCAATCCTGCCAGTAAGTTCTGTGTAGGTGGACTCGTACAAAGCTTATTGCAGGATGTAATCTGAGCCCCAACTTATTTGTTTTTAGACCTATATTGTTGTGGGGGGGGGAGCTATGTGAATTAGGGCTGGCAACTAAACTTTAAGCAGATCTGCTGCAACAGTAAAATTAAAAATGGAGTTTATTTCCCTTTTTGTTCCTTTATCATTTGAAAAAATGCTTGATTTTCATTGTTATTGAGGGGTAGGTTTTTTTTTTTTTTTAATTTAAATGTACCAAAAATTAAAGCTGATCAAAGTTTTTATTTAATTGTGATGAAACACAGCAAAAATATTTTGGTGAACTTTTCTTTTTTTGCCATGAGCTGTCAGGAATGTCATATTTTTTCTCTTCCATTTTTGTTGCCTCTCTGTGTTTTCTATGAATTTTCTCTTCCCTTAACTGAATGAGTGAAGTGTTGACTCGTTAACAAAAAAAGAGCTTTCCTCCTAAGCTTTATAGTTAAATAAGATGTTATGGTGGAGATTACCAAATGGCACTGTTACACAGAGTCATACAAGTTATTTTCCTTTGTGTGAAAGCACTATGCTGTCTTTGAAAAAATAGTACAAAAATTGTATACAAAATCAGGTTGAAGAATATTTAGATAATTTAGGTCACATCTATACTTACCAGCAGATCGACACTCCGGAGGTCAATCTTCTGGCATTCGATTTAGTGGATCTAATAAGGACCTGTTAAATCGAACGCTGAGGGTGCCCTCATCAGCGCTGGTACTCCTACTCCTTGTGAAGAGTAAGGGAAGTCAATCGGAGTGTTTTTCCCATCAACCTCCCGCTGTGGAGAAGGTGACAAAGTTCGAATCAAGGTACGCTGACTCTAGCAACACAATTACCATAGCCAGAGTTGCATATCTTAATTCAAACTTATCTTCTACTATAGACCTGGCCTTAATTGTACTCTATTATTCTAATTGCTTTTGGCTAAGCCAGGAATGTCATTTAATAAAACACTGAAAAACTAGCCTTTCTTGATGAGTCCCAACATCGTTTGCTTTTCTGACTGCTGCTGCACATTGAATGGATGTTTTCAGAGAACTATCCATAATGACTCCAAGATATCTTTCTTGAATGCTAACAGCTAATTTAGACCCCGTTATTTTATATATATAGTTGGGATTATGTTTTCTAACATGCATTACATTTCATTTATCAATACTGAATTTCATCTGCCACTTTGTTGCCCACTCATCCAAGTTTATAAGATCCTTTTGTAGCTCTTCACCATCTGCTTGGGACTTACCTATCTGAAGTAGTTTTGTATCTGCAAATTTTGCCACCTCACTGTTTACCCACTTTTCCAGATCATATATGTTGAATAGGACTGGTCCTAGTACAGATCCCTGGGGTACATCATTATTTACCTCTCTCTACTCTGAAAAGTGACCTTTTATTCCTACCCTTTGATTCTTATCTTTTAACTAGTTATGAATCCATGAGAGGACCTTTATTTTTATCCTATGACAGCTTACTTTGCTTAAAGGTCTTTGGTGAGGGACCTTGTCAAAGGCTTTCTGAAAATCTAAGTACAGTACAATATATCCACTGGATCCCCCAGTGTTCTTATGCCCATAATGTACACACTAGTAAAAGAAGGGGAATATGAAGCTGGGCAGTCATTCTATCCTTGCCTCATATCGTTGTATCTGGGCACTGAAAAAAATGACTGTTGTAGGGATGTTAAATATCAGTTAATTGAATAGTCGATTAACCTCGTGAATTCGTATTGGTTACTCAACTATCCTATAGTCCCCGGGAGTGGGGCTAGCAGCTAGTGCACTCCGGCCCCACTACCGAGGAGCCCCTGCCACTCTGTGCTACTGCCTCTGTATCAGAGGCAGCAGTGCGTGGTGCCAGGTGGGCGCTGGTCCTCATAGACCAGTTGCGTGTCACCCCATACTGCTGTCTATGTCTGTTGCTGCCCTGACGGGGGGTGAGAGGACTGAACTCCCAGACCCGGTGCAAGCCTGAACTGAGCCGGGCTGCCTGCCTGGCTTCTAATATACTTTAAATGCAGAGCCACAATGGGTGTTTGTCCCAGACTCATCACAAGCCAGGACTAAGCCAGGGTGCTGGCCAACCTGCTAAAAAATTTACTGGAAAGAGGAGGGAGGAAATGTGTGTAGTCTATAGCATTTACCTATAAGCTTTTGCTTATTGGTTAATCGACTACATTATTACATCCCCAAACTGTAGTAAACTCTCCAGGCAGTATTTGATTTTGTAAGAAACATCAGAATTCTAGAATTATACTGCTAACATACATCATACTTCATTTTTCCACTCACAAAACAGACAAATCTCACATACATCAAGGATTCTGGATAGTGAAATCCAGCACACAGTTCCATGGGTGTCTAGTAGCCTAGGCAGCGGAAGGTTTTGCCTTCCCAAACCACCAGGCACTGCCCCCAGAAAGCCAGTTGTAGGCGTTCTGGGGGCAAAGTGCTGATGTCCCCAGCGCCTGTCCTTCCATTATCCAGGGCAGGAGGTTGGAGCTGCACGCCCTCCTCCCTCCCTGGAGCCACATGGCCTTCTTCCTCCCCAATGCTCCAGGCTGGGACCATACTACGCACTCTCCTCCCTCCCTGGTGCTCTAGGACCACACCATACACCCTCTTCCGTCCCTGGTGCTGGGGAGGCAGGGACACCATGTGCCCTCCCTCCCCCGGGGCTGGGGCTGTGCTGAGCACCCTCCTCCCTCCCCCAGTGCTCCGGGGCTAGGGAGACTAGGGCCGCACCACATGCCCTTCTCCCTCCCCCAGTGCTCCAGGGCTGGGGAGGCTGGGGTGATCACATGTGCATCTGCCCGCTCATCTCCACTCCCAGTGGGGGGCGGGGCCTCAGCAGAAGTGGTGATGCTGGAGGTAGGGCTGGGCTTGCCTCCTCCAGCCCTACCTTCACCAACCGCCCATGCACATTTCCTATAGTACTACTCCTATTATTTTTTTCTAAGATAGTGCCTAAAGGTGCTGCTTACTACTACTCCTAATACTTAGCACTTTTTATCAGTAGCTCTCAAGTGTTTTACTAAGGAGCATAGTACCATTATCCCCCTTTGAAAGACAGAAAAGTTAAATACTGAGAAGTATTTATCATGAATAAATGGTTATGAAACCTACAGAGATGACAAATGTGTTCATCCCATAATGCTTTAGAAGGGCAGACTGGTTAATCTCTGAGTTTCCTGATGTGCTGTCATAATGCTGATGCCTTGAATCTGTGGCAACAAAGGACTGTGAGGGATGTCATATGTCTGAAGTTTTGTGGCAACTTGCAGTGATAAAGTTTAGGTTGAGGATCTCTTGAACTGGCCAGGTAATATTTTGGGCAGACTTCCTTCCTACAGTGCACGCTTTGAAATATCCTGCATTAGCACTTACAAACCTGGAATAGAAATGTATTTAAGAATGGGATCCACAAAGGGACTTGGGTGTTACAATGCTAAGAGACATAAGAACAGCCATACTGGGTCAGACCAAAGGTCCATCTAGCCCAGTATCCTGTCTGCCAACAGATGGCCCAGAGGGAATGAACAAAACAGTGATCCTTCTCATGTCATCCATTTCCAGACAAACAGAGGCTAAGGACACCATTCCTACCATTAGAAGTCACACACCACCCAACTTAAAGTGCCTAGAAAAACACAAGAACAACACTGAGATCCAAGAAACTAAGTTAAGTGCCTAGCTTTCCTAAATATACACTGACCATACGTCCCAAATTTTCCAGGACAATCCTGAATTTAAATACTCTGTCCCAGTGCCCCATCAAGTAGTGAAATGTCCGGCAAAGCCCCACCAGACATTTCACTACTTGATGGGGACACCAGCATGCGGGAAGAAGCAACCAAGAAATGGCTTGTGCCATTGCTCCTTATGTGGCGCAGCAGCCTCCCCCATCCTCCCAGCAGGGTGAGTAGGCAGCTCCATTGGAGCTTTGCCAGCGGACAGACAGGCCCACTTCCAGTGGCGTGCAGCCCCTTCCTCTCTCCCCTCTGCAGGACTGCCTCTGCCCTACGGGGTCCCAGTCTGGCAGTGCCATCTTCTCCTCCTCCTCCTCCAGGTTTCATGTTAGTCCAGTGGCCACTGCCACCGGGGGGCCAGGCGGGTCGAAGCAAAATCTGGTGGATCAAGTCAGGTATAAGGGCACAGAGGGGCATGAGGAGAACTGGGACAGAGGGTTGTGAGGGGGTGGGTACCAGAGAATAAGAGGGCAAGGAGGGCAGGGGAAGGAACCAGGAAGGTGCAGGGGTAAGGGAAGGTGCAGGTGCCAGGAAACTGTGGGGGTGAAGCAAAGGGCAGACACGTTGAAGGGAGGGACGGGCACCAGAGGACAGAGGCAGGGTAGGTGGGTGGAGGGAGGCAAGTCCCCAAAGGTCTGAGGGGGGTGAGAAGGGCAGGAGCCAGGACAGCAGAGGAGGTTGAGGAGTAAGGGGGCATCAGCAGGCATCAGGGGAGCAGATGGGGCAAGAGGAGGGTGGGAGACATGGCAGCAGAGGGAAAAGGGAGAGATTTATAAGATATTTATTAATAGCTTAGGTACCACTGTGGCACACATCCGAACAAGCACACATGAATTCAATACAGGTGCACAAGACAAAATTCACTCTGCTCATGGGCATAAAATCTTAGAGGGAACACTTCCACCAGCCTCTCTCTCCGAGTTAATGCAATGCAAGTTGGGTTAATGCAATTTCAGGATAGTTGCATAGGGGAGTCCTGTGAAGGCCAAACTCATCCCTATTGGTAGATGATTGTGGGAACAGTTCTTAGATGGATCATACGACATGCTTCTGGTCATGTGTCCATCTTGACCCCAGGAATACTACCTCCAGGTGTGGAACTTCTTGTGGCAGGGGGTTAGCTACTGGGGATCAGAGGTGTGGGTAACAGGGGTGTGGCTAACATGGGCCAGGGAGCCTGACTGACATGTCCCTAATTTTAGTTCAGAAAATATGGTCACCATACCTATATAATAATTGGGAGAGATAGGCACCTAAGAATGTGATCCATAATAGTGAGCACAGTCACCTAAGGTAGCCAATGGGAAATACTACTAAAAGGATTGTGTCCTAAGGAATGTTTCACTTGCAAAGGTGGGAAGAGACATATCTAGAGCACATGATATGCGCCATTTACTCTATTGCTAACTGACAATCACCAGAGAGTGGGTAGTTTAGCTATAGCCAGAGTATTGGGAAGCTGCAAAATCTTCTCTTAAAACCTGCCCCTCTATTGTGCCAAGTGAAAACTCAGTGCACATGTAACCACCACCAAGGTGGATTTCCCAATCATTCAAGCCTCCATTTTGCAGCATCCACAACCAGAGTAAGAAAGCACTTTTGTGGGAACTTCCTGATAAAATATTAGCTGTACATCACTAGAGAAGGCTTATACAGGTCAAATGTGGTTCCCCTGCATAGTCTTATCTTCAATACAGAGGTATGGTCAGTGGAGACACCATTTAGAGCACTGATGTTTAGTACATTAAATACCTCTGTCAGATGCTAATTAGGGTTGCCAACTGTTTAATTGCACAACCTCCACACACCCTTTCCTTGTCTCCTGCCCCACCTCACTCACTCCATCTCTCCCTCAGTCTCCCATACTCTCACTAACTACTCCTGGGCTGTGTCTAGACTGGCCAGTTTTTCCGGAAAATCAGCCGCTTTTCCAGAAAAACTTGCCAGCTGTCTACACTGGCCGCTTGAATTTCCTCAAAAGCACTGACTTCCTATTGTAAGAAATCGGTGCTCTTTGCGTAAATACTATGCTGCTCCCGTTCGGGCAAAAGTCCCTTTTGCACAAAACTTTTGTGCAAAAGGGCCAGTGTAGTCTGCAGAGATTTGTTTTGCGCAAAAAAGCCCCGATCGCGAAAATGGCAATCGGGGCTTTTTTGCGCAAAAGCGCGTCTAGATTGGCCACGGATGCTTTTCCGTGCCAATCTAGACGCTCTTTTCCGAAAATGCTTTTAACAGAAAACTTTTCTGTTAAAAGCATTTCCGGAAAATCATGCCACTCTAGACGTAGGCCTGGGGAAATTCTGTGCACATGCAGCACAGCAGAAAAATACCTCACCACAAGAATCCCCTTCCTTCATTGCAGGAAATAGCTTCTGTGCAGGAAACAAAGAGAAACTGCATGAGCCAGGGCTGGGGCTTGGAATGCTGAAGCGGGGTGAACGGTGCAGGCTCCCGGTGAGCAGTGCTTACTTCTAACAGCAGGGAGCCAGGGCTGCCCCACTGGACTTTTAGTGGCCTAACATCTCCCAGTTTGGCTTCAATAGCCTCCAAGAGAAAAAGCCCAGTTTTGGGACACTCCCAGTGAAACCAGACTGGTAGATGACCCTAATGCTTTTCTATTTGATCCATTTTTCACTCCCCATGCCCTTCAGGCTCTCACAGCCATTACCTTGCCTCCCTTACCATAGTAGCTGTGCCGTTGACAATCTGTGAGGAATGTATTGGCAGACCATACCAGGGAGGTAGGCAGCTACTGTTACCCCATTCATGGACAAAGAAACGTGCTCCAGGGCAGAGGGCTTGCAGCGCCCCTGGCTGCCCCCTGCAACCCTTCCTCTCACTGGCTCAGAGGTCAGGCATGCCTGGGGCAGCACGACCATGCCCCACTGCCTGGTATCTGCAGCCCAAGGACTGCCTCCACGTCAGGGCCCAGACGCCCCGCAGACTGGCCCCCCACACTGGGGCAGGCTGCCCGGGCGGGAAGGGATTGCTGAGGAGGGGCGGAGCTAGCGCGGCCCTCGGGGAGGAGGCCGCGCTGCAGCTGAGGGGAGGCTGGCTCGGCCTGGGGCACACAGAGGCCCCGGCTCCGGGACAGCGAGTTGAGAACAGTTTCGATTTGGCGCGCGCAGCGCCAGACTCCGACTTGCGGACCCCCACACTGGGGCAGGCTGCCCGGGCGGGAAGGGATTGCTGAGGAGGGGCGGAGCTAGCGCGGCCCTCGGGGAGGAGGCCGCGCTGCAGCTGAGGGGAGGCTGGCTCGGCCTGGGGCACACAGAGGCCCCGGCTCCGGGACAGCGAGTTGAGAACAGTTTCGATTTGGCGCGCGCAGCGCCAGACTCCGACTTGCGGACCGGCCGCGAGCGGCGGGGGACGGGCGGCGCACGCCCCCCCCCGGGGGGGGGCTGCCGCGGGCCGGTTCCCTTTTAAGGGGGCCGCCATTAGGGGGTTCCAGCGCGACCCGAGGGCTACACCTGGTGCAGCGCAGAGTGCGGGACGGTCTCGGGGGTGAGGGCGGCCAGGTGGCCTGTGCGGAGTCGGGGGCGCAGGGGAGGCCCTGGGTGGGGGGTGAAGGAGTGAATTTGGGCTGCGCGCGGGGGTCCCGGAGCGGAGGGGGGCGCAGGGGCTTGGCAGCCGAGTGGATGGGGACCAGGCTATTGCAGAGCGGGCTGGGAGCTAGCAGAGGGTGCAGGCGGTTCCCAACCTTTTCCAGATGGGGACCCATTTTGACGATTCACGAAGACTTGGTGTCCCAAGGCAATGCAAAAACGGGGGGAGGAAAGGGGGCAGAGCCACCTGGGGAGACACTTGGTGACCCTTTTGGAAAGTAATGGTGACCCATATTTGGGTCCCGACCCAGAGGTTGGGAAACCCTAGCCGCATACACAGCTGCCAAGTCCCCACGTGCCTGGGCCCATCCCAGCGGAATCGTTATGAAACGAATAATCTCTCTCCTGCAGCCTCATGCCCTTGGCAAAGATTTGTAGCAGGCTCCCCTAGCCAGTGTTTAAATTCTACAGAGCTGGGGGCCGGTGGGCTTCTAACTTTGCTTAACTGAGAGGTATGTTTGCTACTTCCATCCACGAACTAACTCATGGAGGACACGTATCTTCTATAAAAGGGACCCCATTTAATCTTTACTGTGGTGAGGCTCACCTGGTTTAGCTGTTACTAAGGCACGTGTTTCTAAAAAATATGTAGTGTTAAGGCCCAATGGTCCTGAATACAACAACTGCCTAGGTAGTCCATGGAAGCTACTCTCCCCTAATAGGGTGACTATATTTCCCAAAAGGAAAATGAGACCCAGTTAGGGCTGGCCCAAGCTGCTTGCCTGAGATTGGGCTTGGTAGCCTACTCTTCTCGTCTCTTCTCCCCCCTCCCATGCCCCAGTTGCTTGGTGCTAGGCCTGGGCTGCTGCTTCTCCCCTCCCCCCCATGTTCCTCTGCACCCTACTTTTTTTTTTATTACAAAATTGGGCATTTGTCCTGTTTTGCCAACTGATCAAGGTGACAAATGCTCACATCAAGCTGACTGGTACGGGGCTTATAAAAGAGAATTTCCTGACCAAAATGAGACATACAGTCACCCTAACTTAGATTGAATGAATAGTTTAAAACTTGCATTTCTGTACCAGAGATCAAAGTACTTAGTGGTGAAGGAACAGAATTTGGACACGGTATGTGAAGCAAGCAGAAATTTTTATCCTACAGCGGTAACACTGAAGACCTCTAATCTCTGAGCTGGGTGTGGAGCTTTGTTTTACAAAGCTCACACCAGTATATTTGTGAGTTCTGCAATTTCATCTGATTTGATGAGAAGGGAGACTTTAGATTTGTAAAATTTATTAACCTCGCAGTCATGTGGAGGACTCTGGGTGATGTTAACTGATCCAACTCTCTATAGTTATGGATATCAAAGTTTGCACTTTTTTGAACAGCACCTATATTTGGGTCCCTATGATATTTTGCAGGTTCTATGGAAGAATTAAAAGACATATCAGTAGGCTGGTCAAGTAACATGGCTGAAGAAAAACTGGATGTTTCCAAGAACAGTGGTAGGTTGAAAATCATTGTTTAATTATCTTGTAATTTTCAGCAAGTACATAACTTGGATTCTCTGGACCACAGTGATGTATATATTTTTTTTAGGTGCCTAAAAGTGCCACCACTCAAATCTTGACTATCTCTTCCAAATGTTTGACACCCACCCTGCCACCTGAAGACTGCAACCCTAATCTTAGATCTGGTTGACCAGCTACAAAACTGACACCCTTTACCAGGAATTATCTTTTTGCCTGGGATTCACTCTATCCCTGCCTTACCCTCTTTTCCTTTTCTTCCATATTCCAGTTAGAGCTAGGAATGTTAAATTTCGATTAATCAGTTAATTGAGTAGTGGATGGAATTTCCATGGACTACTTGATTAGTCAATAGTGGGGAGTGGGGTTACTCGTTATCCCCGATGCGTCTCTGCCTTTGAAATGTAGCAAGAGCCACCCATGCGAACCTGATGCAGTCCCCATTCCCGCCAGGTCCGAACTGCTGTGACTCTGTCTTCACATTTCAAATAATTTTGGGACCGGGTTCCCTGCTGCACTTCTGCCTCCCCTGTCGATTTCCCCCCACCCCAAGTACTGTGGAGATGGTGCTAGGGGGAACCGGCTTTTAAGCAGCCCCCCCAGCACTGGCTCCTGCTCCCCTTCTCCCCCCTCTCCCCATTGCTGCCTCTGATATAGAGGCAGCAAGAGAGGGGGGATGTGAGTAGTTGATTCGATTACCTAATAAGCCTATGCTTATTGGGTAGTCGAGTCAACTATTTGACTACTCTTTTACATCCATAGTTAAAACTCCTTTCTAACATCAGGTAGGGATGTTAAAGACTGATCAACTAGTCAATTCCCTCCTCCCCCACCCCCTCCTTGCTGCCTCTGTCAGATAGAGGCAGCAAAGGGGGGGGGAGGCAGAGAGAGGGTACTTGAAAGCGGTAGCACTGCCCCTTTGAAATGCCGCCTCGGTGTTTGAAAGCAGCAGAGCCCCACAGTAAGCTTGGGCTAAGCTGTGGCACTGAACACGTGGAGCCCGGGGTCAGTTGGGATCAGCTGGGGAGTCTCCAGGCTCCAGTGCGGCATTTCCGCGGAACCTGCTGTGAGCTGGGGAGTCCCCAGGTGATCCCGGGTTCTGCTGAAATGCCATGCAGAGCCTGGGATCAGATGGGGGACTCCCCTGCTTTGCGTGGCATTTCAAAGCAGCAGCACAGCATAGAGCCCACGGTCAGCAGGGGACTTTGGAGTCTCCCGCTAACCTCAGGCTCCATGCTGCACTGCCCTTTGGAATGCCCAAGAGCGCTGGCTGGGAACTCTTGTGCATTTCAAATCTGGCACTCAAGTGCAGCCCGAAGTCAGCCTGGGCTGCATGTGGAGTTCCACATTCCTCCTTGGAAATGTACAAGAGCCCCAGTGTACATTTCAAAGGAGGAATGCGGAACTAGTGCCTATCCATTAGTCAAGTAGTTTATGGAAATTCCATCAACTAGTCAATTAACTGCTAGCTAACATTCTTAATTCCAGGTAGGCCTTCTTCATTTTAACCTAACTGCTATTGTCTGATTTGTTTTGTAACTTAAAACAAGTCCTCTTACCCTCTTCTTGGTGGGAGGGTGGAGGTCTGCTTTCCTAGCTGCTGTTTCATTTCTTTTCATGTTCTTTGTTTTTTAAACATTTGAGAGGCGGGTTACATTTCACCCTTTTATTTTTCTTCCAACTCTGACCCATTCCAATCTTGTGCTTTCCCATTTCACCAAAACTGTTCTAATTAAAATAGCATTCTCACTTTTCTGAATCTTTCTGCTCTCTTTAAACACAATTAAACAGCCTATCTTCAGCTGCAAACGTATAACATTTAGTCGCTTATTTTAATTGTTTCAGTTGAGTGCATTGCACAATTAATGGGTGATAAAGAAGCCACCTTTAATCTGAATATTTTCTGACCATCAATTAGATATCTGTTCCATTCAGTGTTAAAAGTATTTCTGGTCGCTTTCCCAAAGGATTCTCAGTAACAATTTTGCATTGTACAACCTTTGCCTGATTTTTAAATGTTTCTCTCTGTTGCTGTATGACTTCCCCAAAACAGAAACTTTCTACTGACACAAGAACACTGGCTAAACATACAGTCTTGTCAAATGCGAACTAAAGCTAAGATATTTTTCTAATCTTTCAATTTTAATCATGTTCAGTGTTTCTTGAAACAGATATGTTCAGAAAGGTGTATGGTTATTGATCCGATGAAATAATTTGAATTATTATCACAGTTAATTTTAAAGGCTGTGAACTTAATTAAGATCAGGTAAGTTTAAAATAAAATTAGAAGTAACTTAAGTTTAAGGCCAATGCCAATTGGCAGTGTTAGAAACATACTGCAGTGCAAATTGTGTATATCCTTGTAACTAAGAGTCACAATTAATTGTTATATTTTTTTCAGACTTTCCCCTTCTAAGTGATGAAAAATTTGATTTTGACCTTTCACTGTCTCCTGTAAGGTAAGCTAAGTATTTAAGAACAGGTACATATTTGAAGTGCAAAGGATTTTACAACATCTTGATTGACTTGTCTGTCTTATAGTGGAAATGAAGATGAAGTATTTGTTGGACCTCTTGGGCACAAAGAAAAATGTGTTGCTGTCAGTATTGAAGCAACTAAAAATGCTGAAGAAAGGATCTCTCAAACTCCTGTTAAGCTTATGTGGAGTCCTCTTACTGGAGAGAAATTTGTGGAAATTTTTAAAGAAGCTCACTTGTTAGCACTGCAGCTAGAAAGTGGCAACAAAAATGAACAGAACAAAGTCACTCAATCAGAAGGATCAAAACCCAAGGTTATAGAAAAATTTGTGCAAGAATCCAAGTCAAAATTAAAAATCTTTCAAAAAGGAAACCTACAGAAAAGCCCGAGGTCTCTTAAAAGGGAGACATACTGTGTGTCAGAGAGCCCAATTTGTCAACTGCCACCTTCATTTCAGAAACGTTCAGATTTACCTGTGACACCAGTTGGCAAAATACGTGCCCTTCAGGCTCCTCCAAACACATCTAGTCCTCTTAAAATCCATAAATCTCCTAAAATACCTATTTCACCTCTAACCCAAGAACAGCAAACTGATGGAAAAAATAGAAAGACAATAAGCAAATTGCACACCAAGGCCTCATCTGCTCTTGGAAAAAGCAATCAGCTGACAGTAGAAAAGGTAAAGAATTTTATTCTACACCACTTATTACTCAGTTAAATAAATGGTTGACTTAAGTTAATACATCTCTTCATTGTTTGAGATAACCTCAAATAGAAAAATGATTATATGCAGGGCTTGACAAACCACAGTGAAATCCACTTGCCAGCCCCACTCTGCACATGCATGCACCGCTGGTAAACGGGGCAATCGGCTGAAATCTCCATAAATGGATTTGTCGAGCCCTGATTATATGCAAAGAGCTGGCAAATGCACAAGTTAAACTGAAGGTGTATTTTAACTTGTAATATCACTGCGAGGAAGCAGTAATTATTATAGTGGCTAGAACTGCAAAAAGGAGGTGGGTTTTTTTGTTTGTTTGTTTGTTTGTTTGTTTGTTTGTTTTTAAGCAAATTGACATTTTTACTCTTCTTAATGCTCAATGTTCCTGATTCCTGTATTTAACACATTGTCATCCTTCTGGTAAAATATTTGCTGTCTTGGTGATTTACATACCAACAAGCTCTTTACTCATATTAAACTATCTTCAGGATTGACAGTAATAGGCATAGCTCTGTAAATATGGCAGTAATAATACCTTCTAGTCTTCATACACCTCCTATTTAGAACAGGATTAGCCAAATGCATAAGTTTGAGCAGACCCAGTACAACTGCTCAGATAGGTTAGGGGAAGCAGTAACTGTGTCAATCATCTGCCATGTGCATATGTCCTGTACAGGATGGTTTTTCTCTCCTATCCAACTAGCAAGATACTTCCTCCTCCTCAGTAGTGCACACAGAAGGAAGATGTTGGCTCCTTATACTTGAGAAGGAGGGTGAGGAACTTCTGCCATACGAAAGGGAGCAGGAGAGCTTCTGTTGTATACCCCTTGTTTCCCTTGTCTTCTATCCCATAGCTTTGATATTTTTGCTGACCATGTGACCTCAGATGCTATTTGGAATATACACATCAGCTGTGCAATTTAAAACTTTTAATGTCTAACAGTTTGATGATTTTTTTGTTTTGTTTTGTTTTGGTTCTTTCTTCTTTGGGCTATTAGAAAGAAGAGTTTGTGTGCCTGCCTTACATTATGCCCACATCCGTAGGCATAATGTGCAATTGTTTTAAAATAGGTAACAGGCACTGCAGTGCCTGGGGATGAGCATTGGCTGAAAGAATCCCATAGAGCAGGGATGGGGAACCTAAAGCCTGGGGGCCAGATGTGGTCCCTGCCTTGCCTGGATCTGTCCTGCAAGGATTAGGACTTCCCCTCCAGCTCCCCTGCCATACCTCTGCAGAGCTGGAGCACACAAAATCTACTAGCCTGGGCCCCCTAAAACTCTAGTGTCTGAGGAGGATATAGGGAGTATCTTTCTCAGTCGGGGGCCACATCAGTGAGGGTTTTGTTTTGGGTTTTTTTCGTTTGTTTGTTTGGGTTTTTTTGCTTCGCACTTGTATGCGGCCCCCCGACTTATTCTTCTGTGGGTCAGTCGGTCCCAAAACAAATAAGGTTCCCCACCCTTGCTATAGAGACTATAGGTGACCCCTGCACTTACAACCTAATTGGTTCTTGGAGAACCCTTGTAAATCAAGCCGTCATAAGTTGAACCCTTATTTCCCATAGGCACAATGTTATAAATGGCACTTCTATTCCTGGAAACCCATTTCATACCTTAAAAATACAGTAGTTTGTAACAGCCAGCCATAGCTCCCAGCCCTGCCTGCTGTGATGCTCATGAGGCCACGCGGTGGGAGAAGCAGCCGCCCGCTTTGCCTTCTGGGAGCTATAGACCCCAGGCTTGAGAGGCCACTCTAGGATGGAGTAGGGCAGTTGCTAGGGACAGGCTGTGCAAGTGTCCCAGGCCCGCAGCAGCGCTAATCAGGGCAAGGCCCTGGCCTGGCGGGGTACCAGTTCAAACGCCGCCCGCTGCTGGCCGGCACTGATACTGACGCATGGAGTCTGTGTTATATGCCATCGTAAATGTGGGGGATCGTTAGTCAGGCGGTCACCTGTAATTTGTTGCAAAGAAATTGTCTTATGTTGATTTATCTCACTTAATTGATTTCAGTAAGCAGGAACATAAGTCTGCTGGGTTTAATGACTTTAAAGTCCAATAGAGTTTAAATACATTGAACTTAGAATTTTTATATCTAATCACATACTTGGTAGGTTCAGTCTGCTTTTCTGTTGATTGGTATAAAATATGGATTATTGAATAAATCAGCTTATGCAAAATCTTTACAGCTACTGAAATTGTAATTGCTTTCAAGTAATTTTTTTAAAAAATTGAATCTAATAGCCAAAACCTGTGAAACACTTAAACAGTATGGGGTCATCTGAAGATCTGCTTTCTGACAAATCCAGTGTTGCTTCAGATGTATGTGACTCATCATTCAGTGGCAGCGCCTCATTACAAGACAAGCAAACTCTTCCTTCTCAAACCAAGGTAATAGCGAGTATTAATATGATTGCGGAGGGAAAATATTCTTAGAGTACTGGTGATTTTTACATACATAAAAACAGAGAAGGCAAACCCCAGCTTTTTCACTTAGATGTAATGTCATAGTTGTGTCTTATAATGAATTTAAGATAAAATTTCTTTCTACAGTTGTAATTCTTCAATGGCTAAATTATACATCAATGCTTTTCTAATATTTGTAACAGATAAAAATAGCTAGATAATGTGTTAGCATGAAATATAGAATGTATTATTAACGGGCAAGGAAATGCAGATAATAGACCTCATAGGAGGCTTGTGAATTTTCATAGTTCCCTATTGTGCTACTTGGAAAGATCGTCATTTTTCTAGCATGCAAGCAGAATAGCAGTGACAGAAGCAAAATTTATAGGAACCATAGTACTACAAAGCACTCATGTTTACCAGAAATTTCTTTATATTTTTTTATATATAATAAAATTCTGTCTCAATTTTGCTAAAACTTGTACAACACTGCAAGCCACTTAATATTGTCTATGCAGTTCACTGTGCCCCTCTCCCCTTTCATCAGAGGTGCCTGATCTCTTGGTAGTGGATACTCTTAAATGAAATACTGACCACTTTCACCAGATCTATCACTAATGGAACAGTCTTAGTTATAACCATCAAACTTTCCTGATCTCTTCTCCTAAGAAAAGAATTGTAATAACATGGGATATTGGGTGAGGTGCAAAGAAAAGATGCATAGCACCTAAAAAATTAATGGGATAGTACACCGAAGTTAATCTTTATTTATTTCTTTATACTTAAAGAATTAATCTTGAGCTGGTCAGGAGGTGAGAGGCTAAAAATCAAAGACCTATCCCAATTCTATATAGGAACTTAGGTGCCATTTTTTTTATAGCAGTGTGCTTTTTACTTGTAAGTATATTAAAACGAGATTATAGAACTTTTCTCTGGGATAAATGAACACAAGGACTTGTAATGCATAATGATATAAAAATCTAGCAAATGAAAATGTTTGCTTAATGTCTTTTAGATAGATTAAATTAATTTAATCTTCTTCTTTATTCACAGTTTCGGTTGAGAATGACACAGTTAAAACCTCCTAGTACTGCTAATGGTCCTCTAAGAAAGAACACCTCATCTTCATCATCATCATCAATTTCCAGCATGAACTCCAGTTTGAATTCAAGTTTGTCCATCTCTCCCATAGGGGGAAATGGTAATGGTTAGCGCATCTCTGCTAATCTAATGCAGTTTTTTTGACCTGCAGGTTCCAGAACATGTTTAGTTCTTTCTCTATTTCTTGCCATTTCAGAGCAATAGGCAGTCATTGGGATGAAGTGTTGTAGCTGTATTGTTCCCAGGATATGAAAGGCAAGTTAGGTGAGGTAATATTACCTTCCTAGACAATGAAAGATATCTTTCATTGTCCAGGAAAGTACATGCAGCTCTGTGTACCTTCTGCCAACAAAAGTTCGTCCAGTAAAAGATATTATCTGAACCACCTTATCTCTTTGGGGTTGACAGGAGAATAAAACTTCATGTACACTAACTAAATCAAGTTCTTGACTTCTAGCACCTGAAATAAACCAAACTTCAGAATCAATGAGACCAGTATCTAGGGATGTCAATGTGTAGTCGACTACACAATTAACCAATAAGTTTAGGCTTATTGGTTAATTTTATTGACTACACCCAATCCCCCCGCCCTCCAGGTGCTCCTGTATCAGGCAGCCGGGGGAGGGGAGAGAGTTGGCTTTTAAGCCGCCTCCCCATGAACACTGGATTCGTGGAACCGCCTGCTCATCACCACCACCAACTACATGCTGCTGCTGCCTCTGATAGAGAACGTAAGAATGGCCATACTGGGTCAGACCAAAGGTCCATCCTGCCCAGTACCCAGTCTGCTGACAGTGGCCAATGCCAGATGTTCCAGAGGGAGTGAATGGAACAGGTAATAATCAAGCGATCTCTCTTCTGCCATCCATCTCCACCCTCTGACAAACAGAGGCTAGGGACACCATTTCTTACCCATATAGCCATTAATGGACTTACTCTCCATGAATTTATCTAGTTCTCTTTTAAACCGTGTTATAGTCATAGCCTTCACAACCTCCTCAGGCAAAGAGTTCCACAGATTGACTATGTGCTGTGTGAAGAAGAACTTCCTTTTATTCGTTTTAAACCAGCTGCTCATTAGTTTCATTTGCTGGCCCCTAGTTCTTATATTATGGGAACAAGTCAATAACTTTTCCTTATTCACTTTCTCCACACCACTCATGATTTTATATACCTCTCATATCCCCCTTGAGACTCCTTATCCAAGCTGAAAAGTCCCAGTCTCTTTAATTTCTCCTCACATGGGACCCGTTCCAAACCCCTAATCCCTTTTGTTGCCGTTCTCTGAACCTTTTCTAATGCTAGTATATCTCTTTTGAGATGAGGAGACCACATCTATACGCAGTATTCAAGATGTGGGCGTACCATGGATTTATATAAGAGCAATAAGATATTCTCCATCTTATTCTCTATCCCTTTTTTAATTATTCCAAACATCCTGTTTGCTTTTTTGACTGCTGCCACATGCTGCATGGACGTCTTCAGAGACGTCTTCATGATGACTCCAAGATCTCTTTCCTGATTAGTTGTAGCTAAATTAGCCCCCATCTATTATATGTATAGTTGGGATTATTTTTTTCCAATGTGCATTATTTTACATTTATCCACATTAAATTTCATTTGTCATTTTGTTGCCCAATCACTTAGTTTGTGGGATCTTTTTGAAGTTCTTCAGTCTGCTTTGGTCTTGAGCAAAAGCTTGAGCAGTTTAGTATTATCTGCAAACTTTGCCACCTCACTGTTTACCCTTTTCTCCAATTCATTTATGAATAAGGTGAATAGGATTGGTCCTAAGACTGACTCTTGGAACACCACTAGTTACCCCTCTCCATTCTGAAAATTTACCATTTATTCCTACCCTTTAACTAGTTACAAGACAGGAATCAGTCTATGAAAGGATCTTCCCTCTTATCCCATGACAACTTAATTTACATAAGAGCCTTTGGTGAGGGACCTTGTCAAAGGCTTTCTGGAAATCTTAAGTACATTATATCTACTGGATCCCCAGAGAGGCAGCAATGCAGATGGTGAGGGAGGCAGGCGGAGCTGGTGCACGTGGGAAGCCAGCTTTCAAACCAGCTCCCTGTGTATATTGGCTTTCACATGAGCCTTCCTTCCTCCTTCCCCCAGCGTGCTGCTGCCTCACAGGCAGGCGGGAGCCAATATATGTGGGCCAGCCCTCTCTGTGTGCTAGCTCCATGGAGCTGTCTGTGTGCTCTCTTCCCCGCTCCCACCACCACCTGTGCAGTAGCATATGGAGCTTCTGTTGGCAGTAGGCCCAGGTTCACCAGGGACAGAGGCTGCTCCATGGGATGCCAGTGCAGCTTCCCTTGTGGATCAGTTCCCACCTGACACTCTGTGCTGATACCTCTGAGACAGAAGCAACGGTGTGGGGAGGGCAGAGGACTCCACAGCGGTGGGTCCAGGAGCGCACGCATTGGCTACCAGCCTGCCTTCGGGGACTATCTAATAATCGTGTAACTGCTAAAATTTGCTAAAATTTAATCAGTTAATCGCTATCTAACATCCTTACCAATATTTACAAATTAGGATCTGATACAATTAATGTCATCCATAATGGTTCTTTTCTAGTTAGAATTATCTTTAGCCACAAGAACTTCTAAAGGCCACAGTGTAACATCTGATATAGAGAACCAGTGTTATGATGTAGAGAATAAAGGGGAGGTGGAAAAGTCTGTTACTCAAGCCCTGACTTTTTTTCTACAAAGACCATCACAGTAAATTTTTAATTATGGCAAACTAAAACAATAATATCACAATGGTTGTGGTTAACACAAAAAAAGATTCAGAGGGGAAGCCCTGTTGGTCTGTAACAAGAACAACTTAAAAAAACCCAAGTAGTCTAGTAGCACTTACCATCTACGTGTTTTGTTAATCTTTATCATGTATCATGAGCTTTCGTGGGCAAAACCCACTTCTTCAGATGACTGGAGTATAATAAGTTCAGATCCAAGAATAAATAAATGGGGAGGGGAGGGGGAAGAGAAGGAAAAAGGGGACGGGAGGAAAGAAAAGAGAGACAGTAAGTAGATAGTTCAAATAGTTACCAAAAAAAAGACTAATACTATTTGTCAAAGCTTTCAGGACTTACTAGACACAACAATGGAATACAATCTCTTACAGTTTCTTGAGCCATTATAAAGCAATACTAAAGCACAAATCTTATACAGCCTCTCCCCAAGTTACGAACCAACACTTGGTCCATAACTCGGAAGTGTTCGTAACTCGGATCCCATAGAGTTACATGGCGACTGCACTGTTCATAAGTACGGATCGCCATTCATAACTCGGATCCGCATTTACAACCGCTTTGGTCGTAAGTGTGGATGGTCATAAGTGGAAGTGGTCGTAACTCAGGGAGCGGCTGTAATATTATTTAATTATTGGCAAACTTGCCTGGCATATCTCGGGCTTTATTTGCATGTTCCCATCCGGCTGCCATTTTTAAATTCCCCTTTGTCTGAATGAACTGCCCGCAGCTACACGCAGCAGTTTAAAGTTAATCTGAACTAAATCTTTAGTTCAGATTAACTGTTACTCCATGAATTAATGAGCTGGTATAGACATACCCTTAGGTGATAAGGTGCTATAGGACTCCTTGTCGCTTTTGCAGATTTATACTAACACGGCTACTTTTTTGATACTTAATTGACTTTCATATGCTGTTGCATCTTTTTTTAGTAATCCAAGAACATAATAAAATGCAGTGTACATTTAGAGGGCAATTATTTTAGAATTTGTGTTTGTATTTTATATGATTTGTTTTTTGTTTTAAGGATCAGAGAGGAGGGATATTTTTTTTTTTTTTAAATAAAACTGAAAGAGTAAGACCTGCTACTAATTTCTTGTGAATTAAGAGATTTCATGAAGTAAGGAGAGAGATGCACCTGGAAGAGATTAAAATATTTGGGCAGCATTATTTGGGAAACATTTGTGCTTGGCTCATGCAGCTCAACATACTTGGAAAGTCTTTGAGAAAAGGGAAGTGGGAAGGGGAGGGAGATGGTAATGTTCAAAGAAAATGTTAAGTAACACATGTCCTAGAAATATTTAATGTGAATGACTAATCAAAAAACTAAGATTTTTAAGTGAATAAATAGCCTGTTAAAACTTGTTTCTTAACTTTTACACTTTTTTAAAAAATACTGTTAATTAGATTAGGTAAGAAGACTTCATTGACTGTCACTTAAGATATGTATTTCAGGTAGCCGGGCCTACTACATTGAAAATACAAGCTATGCTTAAATATAACTATAAAGAACGAATATTTAAGTGCTTCTCAAAATGCCTTGCTCTTTCATTTGACCTGGAAGCTGATATTCTGAATGGCTGTGTCTACATTGGCACCCTTTTCCGGAAAAGGGATGCTAATGAGAGAAGTCGGAATTGCAAATGCTGTGGGGGATTTAAATATCCCACGCGGCATTTGCATGAACATGGATGCCGCTTTTTTCCGGCTCGGGGCTTTGCCGGAGAAAAGCGCCAGTCTAGATGGGATCTTTCGGAAAATAAAGCCTTTTCCGGAAGATCCCTTATTCCTCCTAAAATCAGGAATAAGGGATCTTCCGAAAGAGGCTTTATTTTCCGAAAGATCCCATCTAGACTGGCGCTTTTCTCCGGCAAAGCCCCGAGCCGGAAAAAAGCGGCATCCATGTTCATGCAAATGCCGCGTGGGATATTTAAATCCCCCACAGCATTTGCAATTCCGACTTCTCTCATTAGCATCCCTTTTCCGGAAAAGGGTGCCAATGTATGTCAAGACTAGTCTGAAGCATCAAAGACAGCCATTTTGTAGACTTTTTCCGACAGCTTTTGTTCAAGGATTTCAAAACTAGTGGCTAAACTATTTTAAAACCTTTAAATTGTAACAGCTGCAAAGTTCAGGTGCTTGAACACTTACCACAAATCATTGCATAATGTTTTCATATCTTCAACTGTTCTTGAGTAAATTTAGACTTTTGTAATTTGTTAAATGTACCTTGTAACCAATTGTGGGGGAAACAATTGCTGAACTTCTGGTTAACTGTGCTTTCTATTTTTCAGCCAAATCAAGTGTCTCTTCAAAAATTTCTGTGATCAACTCCAAACTCTCTAGCACACAAAGACTGGCTATGGTTAGACCGATCAGAATATCATCTGCGCAGGCTGTCCATTCTGATGTATCCTACAAGCAAACAAGATTAGTTAGCACTCCCAAAATCTCTACTGCTGGGAATTTAGCTAAACCTTCAGCTTCTATGACAGGATCCCAAAATCAAGCCAGTGGAATTCAGAGACTGAGCTCCGTTCCTAATCTGCAGAAGATACCTCAGCAGAACAAAGATGGAAGTGCAGCTAAAGGAAACACGTGCCCAAAAGGCAAGACTAAAGTTATACTCACACCTACAAATCAGGTTAAGGTCCCTAAGAGATGTGGAGGTAAGCACACATTTTGGAAGGCTGTTTTTTGTTAACTTGGCTTTTGATTTTGACATTACTTTGAACACTCCTCGTGCTATGTGCTAACTCAGAGCGAGATATATATATTTATTGTTCTAAAGCTGTTGGGATGGAATTATCATGTGACTTGTAGGTGTTTGTTGAAAACTAGAGTAATATAGTGTTTGGTTGTGTATTTTTGTTGTTCGTTTGTTTGTTTGTTTTGTTTTAACAAGGTAGTAACGTAGAATAATATTTTCTCTTCCCTTAGGTTCATCATCAGAAAATATAGCATCAAAAGTAGTGGAGCCAATCAGATTACTGTCTTGTGGTACATTTGGAAGGTAATGTTGTAATGTATTGGGTCACTTGCATGTTTTTTTAAGTATATCTACCTTTTGAGAATGTTGTATTAAGCAACTATGTAACCTAAACTTTGAAAGTGCAGGTCTAATTACTTCAAACTACATTGGAAAGTTTTTTTTTTTTTTGTAGTCCTCTGGTGACTTCCTGTTTTCCACAAGCAAAAATGTTAAAATTTGCCCTGGGATATGAAGTCAGTTTGGTTCTCCTAGGATTAGGTAACGTAAATGTCTAACTGGAATTAATTAACTATTCTGATGTGTGAGGGAATAGAATCAGCTCTCACATAGCAATGATATTTCTGCAGAGCTAATGTGAGGTATGGGGGACTCTCTTTTCCCCCCTCCCCCCCTCATTTGACTGAAGGGTGGTGTGTGGTCTTTTTGTATTTGGTGAAGTCAGCTTTGAATATAACCAGGAAGCAAATCTGAGGAATGTTTTCACATAATACTTATTCACAGTAGAATTTTGGTGTGTTAGCTATCAGGTATTTATGTAAATGTGTAACTGCTGGAAATGTTAGTGGTTACAGACTTACATGCACACGCAGGAAGTAGATTTTAAACCAGCTCCCAGCTGAGCATCAGCTCCCTCCTGTCACCTCCCTCTGCTGCTGCCTCTATGGGAGGCAGCTCTGCTGGAGCAGGCTTCACACATGTATCCGCTCTCGCCTCCTCCCCTGCCCATCCCACTGCCTCTGATCAGGCTTATAGATTTAACCAATAAGCCTGGGCTTATTGGTAAATCATGTAATCGGCTACACGTTTGACATCCCTAGTAGAAGTGCTTTTCAAGTTTGTTAGATTATTTCCTCTTCTGTCTCAAATTAATATGAAATTTTCACAAGTGAAGATTTAACGGTAGGGAACCTCTTTTTGGTTGGGGGCCACTGACCCACAGAAAAATCAGTCGGGGGCTGCTTGCAAGTAAGGGGGGGGGAGGGGACACCAAACCAAACCCTTGTTGATTTGGCCTCCAACTGAGAAGCAGAAAGACACTCCACACTTTTCCCCCACACACCAGAGCCTAAGGGGCCCTAGCCTAGTAGACTTTCTGTGCTCCAGCCCTAAGGGGAGACAGTGGGGGGGCGGGCTAGAGTGCCAGCACGAACACCCTAATGCTGGGTGGGGGAAGAGTCCTGATTCTCTGGGGCTAGATCCAGGGAAGCCCAGGTCTGGGGTCTTAGGTTCCCCACCCCTGGTTTAAAAGAGCTGTTAACTGAACTCTAATTGTGATGTGACCAGCTCCAGCATAAAACATCAATCCACTCTTAGGCTACGTCTACACTGGCCCCTTTTCCGGAAGGGGCATGTTAATTTCACCTATCGTAGTAGGGAAATCCGCGGGGGATTTAAATATCCCCCGCGGCATTTAAATAAAAATGTCCGCCGCTTTTTTCCGGCTTTTAAAAAAGCCGGAAAAGAGCGTCTACACTGGCCCCGATCCTCCGGAAAAAGCGCCCTTTTCCGGAGGCTCTTATTCCTACTTCAAAGGCCTTTTCTGGAGGATCGGGGCCAGTGTAGACGCTCTTTTCCGGCTTTTTTAAAAGCCGGAAAAAAGCGGCGGACATTTTTATTTAAATGCCGCGGGGGATATTTAAATCCCCCGCGGATTTCCCTACTACGATAGGTGAAATTAGCATGCCCCTTCCGGAAAAGGGGCCAGTGTAGACGAGCCCTTAAGGTTTAGTTATGCTAACACTTTCATATCTCTTTTTGTATTTTTAAGCCTGCCTTCTGTTTTGTTGTTTCTGTTTGAGTAGTATTCAGAGTGAAATTGTAACAAGTTTCTAGAAGCTTTCAGTTAAATTTATATTGCTTGTTTTCCTTTAGTGGTGTGGCTGTTTGCACTCCTGTCAGACCTTCTGAAGATGGGGCCTCGCAGAACTCTTGTCTTAGTTCCAGGTCCATTTTAACTACTCCAGCCAGTATAAAACGTTCTGCTCTGCCAACACCCGCTAGTCGTCGTATCTCAGGAATTCCAGCAATGACCCCTAAAACTGTGCCAAGATCTGTTTCCTCTCCACATTTTAAGTCTGTACATCAAGTCTCCAGTATGTCCTCCAAAAAGACTTTTGCAGCTGGGTAAGATGCCACAGGTGTAACATGGTCCTATTGAAGTCTATTAAAATTCCTTTGACTTCAGTGGGAAGAATTTTGTCCCAGATGTTTAGACAAGTGACACTATACACTCACATATAAGTGATTTCATGTATTGTTGAATAGAAGCATGACAGTTAACTATATTATTTTCCTGTTTATACTTGTTGGTCCTTTCCAACTTAATTCTCTAAGAGTGCGTCTAGACTATATTCCTCTTTCGAGAGAGGAATGCAAATGAGTGAAATGGAAAATGCAAATGAAGCACTGATTTACAAATCTCATGCTTCATTTGAATAATCTCTTCTAATCACTTTTTCAGAAGAGAATTTTTTTTTGGGGGGGGGAAGCAGTTTAGACAGGGCTCTTTTGGGGGAGAAAAAACAAACAAACCTGTTTTGAAAGAAACCTTATTCCTAAAAAAATAATGAGGTTTAGAGTTCTTTCAAAAAGGGTAGGGGGGGGTTCCCCCGAAAGAATCCATCTAGGCTGCTTTTTTAAAAAAAAAAATTCTGAAAAATATCTCTTCCGAAAAAGCGATCAAAGAGATTATGCAAATGAAGCACAAGATTTGTAAATCCGCACTTCATTTGCATTTTCGATTTCCCTCATTACTTTCCTCTTTCGAAAGAGGAATGAAAGTTTAGATGCACCCTAACATAGTTTGGTTTGCCTGAATCCTTAAAACAGAGGATAACGTTGGACTCTTGCAAAAATAGCAAAGATAAACACTTCTTAATCCATCATTTGACCACATCTTCAAACTACCTATGAATCAGCTTGAACTATGTACATCACAGAACTTGTATCTGAGGAATTCTGCTGCTTTCAGCAAACTTACTGGATGCACAGTGACTTCAGAAGTAACTTTGTTCCAACCCGATGATACTTCCAGCTATGTGAAAGATAATGCAGGATCTAAACATGACAGTATTTTCTAGATAAGGAAAACCAGCAGTCAGTTAAGTGGTCTAGTCATGCCATAGTTGAGACAATTCCATGCGGAATCTGGGTAGCACCATCACATTTCTTTATCTGCTTACAGAGGATGCTTTCTCTTCCATAAGTCAACTCAATAACTTTTTACAAGGTCCAAATATATTCTCACAGTTTAAACTAGTGTATTTATAGCAGCCTTGTAGTGCTGGTTCTTCAGTAAAACTTAACTAGCCTTATATTTCAAATAAAACCTTTGTCTTCCAGCATAAACCAAACATCATCATGCCTGATGTATGTCCCTCAGACATTCAGTTACTTCCTCAAAGTACACGTCCAAAATGCTCTTTCTTCCCTTTCCCTTTTCCAACTCCACTGTCATCCCACTTGCAGCTTTGGATTCCCAATCTATCCCTGTATATTTTTCCTTTTACCAGGTATTGAACTGAATTATTTCAGTGGCATGCAGTAGTGGCACCTCTCTGATACAGCAGTCTCTGGATAAGCTTCCAGAAACTTAAGCTAAGATTTTCAAGAAGGTATCCTAAAAATATCCACCAAATATGGATTGCCCATTTTGCTTTTACACTGTAGACAACTTGTCCACTTAAATTGTAATTCAGCAGAGCAGGGGACAATGTCTTTAACATCCTTACCCCACAGAACATAAAGACTAGTCGATAGGCACTGCAGCATTCCACCTCATGGAGGAATGAGGAACTCTGTGTACAGCCCGGGGCCAGCGGGAAGTCCCACTGACTGAGCAGCATGCAGGTGCCTTCTTTGAAATGCACAAGAGTCCCCAGTGGAGGCTCTTGTGCATTTCAAAGCCATGGAGCCCGGGATCAGTGGGGGACTCCCCAGCTGATCCTGGGCTTCTCTGGCATTTTCCAGGGAGCCCAGGGTCAGCTGGGGAGTTGTCCCCCCGTCCCCCGCATTGATCCCTGGCTCCATGGCTTTGAAATGCATAAGAGCCCCCACTGGAGATTCTTGTGCATTTCAAAGAAGGCACTCACATGCAGCTGGAGTCAGAGGGACTTCCCCCAATGAGGGCTGTTGTACATTTCAAAGAAGGAATGCGGAATGCCTATTGACTAGTCAATTAACTACATTTTAACATCCTTACTGTGGGGTGCATAGTGTGCTTTTGAATGAATAAATAAGACTTTACTATTAGACTGAGGTGCTCACAAAATGAGGAATAATAAAGTTATCAGATTGCACTTTAGCTTTGTAGAGCAGCTAAATAACATGAACCTTACTTTGTCGATTCTTTATTAGTAATGCTTAATTAACACCTCTTAAATACTTCACTTTCCTCCAGTTTTAAACAGGCTAGAGACCTCAAGACAGAAGTATCCTCATTTGAAGATGACTTGTCTCCTCTACCTGTGATACCTCTTACACTTGACTTTTCACCAGAAAAGACTACAGAAATAGCAGAGAATGCAATACAAGAGACTGAAGTGCAAAAGCAGCCAGCTGAAGGAGCACAAGCTAATGAGGTAGGTACACTGAATCCATGAAAATGTGACCTATCTACTAACTAAAAAGTGCTCAAATTTTGAACCAAACCAGATTAGGTGTACGTGCACCCTCTAGAGTTAGCTTACACCATTAACCACCATTTCTTCATTGCAATAAATGTTCCTTGAAATTAGTTTTCCATGTCAAATTTAAATTTTCACTCTTACCTGTACTGGGAAGCCCTTGTGTACTTATGGATCCAGTCATGAAACACTATCACATGAAGTAATTCCAGTCACAATTACAAAATATACAGGATGAAACTCTCTTAACTGGGACTCTGGTCCAGCAACATCCGTGATTCGGCAGGACCTGGGGCCACCGAGGCACGTGGCAGTTGAGCTGCCAGCGGAGTTGAGAGACCCAGCGCAAGGCTGCCTGGCGGGGCTGGGAGCTTTGGTAGGTTGGTGGGGCAGGGAGCTACAGCGCATGGCACTGCCCAACTCGTCCTGGAGCCATGCTGCCCAATGGGGTTGGTTTGCAGGGCAGTGTGGCCAGCAGGTTGCAATGAGCTGGTCAGGAGGCCAGTGGGGCTGATGGCAAGGGTCCAGAAATGACCTCCTCTGGTCCAGCAAAATTCCTTAGCTGTGATCAGTCAGGTCTTGAGGGTGTTGAACCAGGCAGGTCCAACCTGTATCTGTTTTTGTGCAGTATTGAATGTCTGGAAGTAACTGAGAAGAAGTCTAAACCAGGGTTGGACAATAATTTTTTACCAGGGGCCACTTTGGAAATTTTTGAAGTGGTTTCGTGCTGCCCCAGAAGGGGCGGGCCAGGACACTTCGTTGCTTCCCAACCCACAGACCCTGACTGGTCTCCTCATACTCTGCCCCTGTCCTGCAAGGAGCATGCGATGTTTAAAAGCACCACACCCCTTGCAGGGCAGGAGGAGACTTTGTGTGCTCCAACCCCAATCCAGGCCAATCAGGGCTTGGAGTCAGCGGGAGTGCAGTCTCTGTGGGCCGGATCACTTGGCAGGCTGAATCCAGCCCATGAAGGCTCTTTTGTCCACCTCTGGTCTAAACTCATATTTGCTGGAATAGCAATTTGTTTGCAGATGTAAGGCATATACTAGACTAACTACTGTTCACCTGTAGCTATTTTCTCTGGTATCCTATTTACAGAATGCTGAAGGCTTGCTGTGGGCTTTGTGTTAGTGCATGTAAATAATAGATAATCAAAATCAAATTGGATATAGTTATGAATAAAGCTAGTTATCTTGTTGAGCTATTTCATTGTCAAAATGTCAGTTAAAACTGAATTGAAAAACTGAAATATGAAACTTGAGAATATTTTTCAAATATGATTTTATTGCCTACATAATACTTAATCACCTCTGCTCAACACACTAATCCTACTTCACTCACCAGACCATGCTGCCTTACCTTTAGGATAGTCGATATATAACCATCATTCTTCTGTTAGTAGGTTGTTTTTTGTGGCTTTTTCCCTGTAAGTCAATAACTGGCTTACCTACATTATTCTGAAGGAAGCACAATAAACAGAGAAAAATAAACTTTTTATTTCTAGGTCTTCTTGGTTGATGTTGGAATAGTTGAAACTCCCATTGCTTCTTTGGAATGTGAAAGCATACCTCTTATTGACCTTTCTAATACTCCGGAAGTGAATAAAGCTATTCCACTAAAACCTATTGTGGTAGGACAGGTAAGGTATCTCAAACGTATCTAAATTGTTTGTTTGCTTTCCACAAATGCATAACGTTGTTTTTAAAAATTATTTGTATGAATTTGTATGTAGAGTCGTTACAGGAGAGACATGAATATTGTATATTAATTATTCGTGGCACTAGTACTTTATATTTAATACGACACCTTTTGCTAAACTGAATCCAATTTATGGAGTAAGCTAGGATATCTGTTGTTGTCATCTCTTATACTAGAGATTGAAAGGGAAGTGAGTGGTTTTTTGTAAAACAGCTACGAATGAGCCTCAGTTAATGATTGCAAATACCTTAATTACTTAGCCCTGCATGATCCACTTTTTCTGTGTTGTTTTTGAAAGCCAAAAATACTTCCTGCATCAGTTACGATTGTAGGAACACGGCGCTGTGCAGACTCACTAAAGTTCTTTTAATAGCAGTGGTATCTCATGATTGCTTTTTTTTTTTTTTTTTTTTTTAAGTACATATTGTGAGGGCATGCAAGGGTGGATAGAATCATCCTATGGATGCAGCCAGTCAGGAAGTCACATTCAGAACTTTTATCTTCTCATAGAAATACCAAGTGCTATTGCCAGCCACCCTGGAATTACATTGTAGGGCAACACTAGCAAGCTCCCATTCCAGGGGCCCCTTGGCTACGTCTAGACTGGCATGATTTTCCACAAATGCTTTTAATGGAAAAGTTTTCTGTTAAAAGCATTTGTGGAAAAGAGCGTCTAGATTGGCATGGACGCTTTTCCGCAAAAGCACTTTGTGCAGAAAAGCATCCGTGCCAATCTAGACGCGCTTTTCCACAAAAAAGCCCCGATCACCATTTTTGCAATCGGGGCTTTTTTGCACAAAACAAATCTGAGCTGTCTACGCTGGCCCTTTGGGCAAAAGTCCTTTTGCGCAAAACGGGAGCAGCATAGTATTTCTGCAAGAAGCACTGATTTCAGACAGTAGGAAGTCAGTGTTCTTGCGGAAATTCAAGCGGCCAGTGTAGACAGCTGGCAAGTTTTTCCGCAAAAGCAACTGCTTTTGCGGAAAAACTTGCCAGTCTATACGCAGCCCTTGTGTATCTGATATTGTGCAGCCCTGCCCGGACAATACAAGCTCATATAGTCTGTCATTTAATAGATGATATTCACAAATCTTTTTCTCAATCTAAACATGTTGGTTTAGATAAAACAATAAATTTTTTATTAATTGCATAATGAATGAAGCATAAAAATTAATCTCAGAGAAATAAAGGGTAAAATGTGACTAATACGTAACTTAACAAGTGAATTCAAAGGTAGCCAAGATCACTCCAGACTACTGATGCTTTCTTTGATTTCCAAGTGTTGTTGATGCTGTGAATAAAGATGAAGGGGGAGAGAGATCTTTTGGGAAGGGAGAGGCGTTCCCCATTTTTACATCTCATTTGAGAATGATCTCCAGCTGGGGTCCAGGAGACTGAAAGTTTGAGATGTGAACTTCCAACTATTTCTTTGCCAAAATGTAAATTTCTCGCTCACATCCTTTTTCTTGACAAAAATGGGCCCTTAACCAGATGTTAAGTCTGTTTTTATTTTGTTGCCAGCTAGCTGAGGCATCAGTTTTGTCTGTTATCTTTGAGGAACCAATTTGGGCCTGCTTTTCGAAACTTGAAGTGTGTCTCAATAATTCTATACAATGTTGGCACACATTTTACAAGGAAAATAATGATCAGCACATTATGGATTTTGAAATACCTAACTAGCCATGCTGTGTACAAAATTAATTATAGTTTTAATAAAAAGTGACCATTGGGGGACACTATTACTGGGAAACGGGATAATAGTAGCAGGGAAGGGGGGTGGATAGAACCTATATCTCTCTCTGACAACTCCCAACAGTCAGCAAAAGTGAGGGGTGATCTACTATTCTGGCTTTTGTGAATCCCTTTCTTAAGACACACCTCTAAAAATATGAATACCTAACTCTCTGGCTTTGAATCCCAGTAATTATTTTTAAAAAAATCCTAAAGCCTCAGTCCTCATGTGATTTTTTTTTTTTTTTTTGCATAAATTCTTGGTGGTGGTCTCTAGTTTTGTTGCTACAACTGAGGTAAAGTGTGGATGGGTGGGTGGGTGTGTAAATAAAAACTTTTGGGAGCTAATTCAAATCTGATAGACGAGCATTCCCTGATTCTTTTTTTTTAAATTCAAGGTCTTTCGGGGTTGGAGAGTAGGTCTCCTTTTATATAGCACCACGGGCTCTGATTGGTGCATCTAGGTGCTGCTGAAGTAACTTTTACAGTTGGGTGAAGACTCTTAATTGAACACCTAAGTGTGGTGTAAATTAAGGATGTAAAAGACTAGTCGACTATCCGATTAGCATTTGCTTATCAGATAGTATTTTGACTAGTCAATAGTAGCGCTGCCACTTTGAAACCCCCAGGCAGCTTTTCAAAGGGGCAGCTGCTGCACAGCTCATCCATGGATCAGCTGTGTGGCGATTGCCCCTTTGAAATGCCGCGTCTGAGGCGATTCAAAGGGACAGCTGTGGAGCTTGGGGTCAGCTGGGGACTCCCCAGATGACCCTGGGTTCCTAGTGGCATGCAATGTGGCATGGAGCCTGGGGTCAGCAAGGGACTCTAAGTCCCCCGCTGACCTTGGGCTCCATGACTTTGAAATGCACAAGAGCCTCCGCTGGGAACTGTCGTGTATTTCAAAGTAGATACCAATGTGCAGCCCAGACACATTTCAAAAGAGGAATGGGGAAGTGCCTATCAACTAGTCAACAGAAATTCCATCATCTAGTCAATTAACTGGATTTTAACATTCTTAGTGTAAATATTTCTCTTCAAACACCTGCACTAACATTAGGGTAACTAGCTGCAATTATCCATGACCCTGCTAGTCCCATGTGTGGAGCAACAATCTGACCAAGATACTAGTTAAATATTATGTCATTTCATTCTGTCTTTCAGCTAATAGATTTGAGTTCTCCTCTAATCACGCTGAGTCCTGAAGTGAACAAAGAGAATCTGGATTCCCCTCTGCTGAAGTTCTAAACTAACTCAGAGTTGAACCAAAAATGTATCACAGTACTAGCATCTGCAATCTTGATTTGATGCATTAGCTGTCTTAATAGTACTGCATGGAGAGAATGTCCTGCAATGGAATCACATTCAGTAGTAAATTAAAGGAACTTGTGTTGACAAAAGGAACTAGAATAATCTGTTCAGTGAATCCAAATTGGGAATATTTGATTAATGGAACTGTCTTCGCATTATTGAAGATCTGTGTAGTTTTTTTTAAAGTTTTGTATGTCTTCTTTAGTAAATTATTTTGTCTAATCATACATAACATTAACCTTTTTCAAAGGGTTTGCTAGTAAATAAAATGATCTAAAGTACTAAAATTAAACAGAAAATTACAGTTATTGTGGTAGTTGTCTTTATATCTAATATAATGGTCTGTATATATTTGAAGCCATAACAAGTCTGGAAATAAAATGTGTTTGGGCCAACATGTGTTATATGCTAACTGTGCCATGGAATACTTCAGGAGTCTAAAATAACTACATTCAGTAAAAGCAACTGGCCATAAAGATTCATTAACATTATTCTAATTATCTGTCTAAGATGGTAGTGCCAGAACTTTGCACAATGCATGTAAATTGAGGGACCTGCATTGAAGGCTTTGTCGGATTGAAGTCTTGTATGCCATATCGTATGTGGAGGCCCTAGGAGTGGACTGACAGCTTTTTTTAACCCTTCCATTAACAGAGCTGTGCTTTGTTATCGAAGGTAGCAACTAGGGATGTAAGTGACTAGTCAAGTTACTACTTGATTAGTTGCTTAGCCCCTGTTGCCTCTATCAGAGGCAGAAGGGAGGGGGGAGCAGGAGCAGCTGGGGGAGGCAAAGCAGGGGAGTGGGTATGAGTCAGGACTCAGCTGTCCTGGGTGATTCTTGAAGCATTTAAAGGGCAGAGCCGCTGAGGGATTAGCTCCTGGGGAGCTAGTGGCATGACTCCTGGTCAGAGGTCCTACAGGGTTCTCAGGCAGCTGCCCTGCCCCTGCACAGGATCCAGAGGCCATGTGCATTGGTGACAAAGAACCTGAGGGGAGAGAGGAGAATGGTACTTCGGTTCTTCAAACAGGCAACTACCACTAGTCAGAAAACTACTGATGGAATTGTGCTGGGGGCAGGAACAGTGCATGAAACAGGATTCCCTGGGTTCCCAGCTGATAGAAACGTTTGGCAGCTACTTTCCTGAGCGGTGGCAGTGGGAGCATGGGGCAAGCAGAGAGTCTGTGGCTGCAGGCTGAATCCAGCCCCTGGGCTGTATTTTCCCCCAGCCTATATAAGCTATAAAAGCAAAAGTTGAAGAATAGCCACCTTCCTCATCCCTCTTCAGAGTCCCTGCTCATGAGCTGTAGTCACTCCTCACTCTAGGAGTGATAGAACAGATTCCTCAGAAACTTTGGGACATGGGTTTTTCTTCCATTACTTCCTTATTCCTTCACCAGAAGTTTGCACTCTATCCTGGATCTTCAAGACCTCAATTCCTTCATAAAGGTAGGATGCCAGATGGTCTCCTTAGCTTCCATCATTTCCTTCCCTGGATCCAGGGCCCTGGTACATTGCCCTCATACTGAAAGCTGTGTATTTTCACACATCCATTAGTCAAGTCCACTTTGGAATACAAGGGTCAAGCATTACCTTTCTCAGCAGCCTCCCAAGTATTCAAGAAATGCAGAGCAATGGTGACAGGCTTCCTACACGAGCATCAGGTGCAGATGTTCCTGTACCTTGCCAAATGGCTTACAAAGGCCAAGTCATGAGTGCAGTTAAAGGAGCAAGAGAAAGGCAGTCAGCCTTTGATGCCCTGGGAATGCAGGTGTACTGCCTGTCCCTGACTCTACCATAAACAGAAACCAGACAGTAAATGGGCTAGCTGATGACCAGGGGCCTCCCGTCACCCTGATGGCTAGTACCAGTAATTGACACGCCTGCACTGTCCCAGGAGAGGAATCTTCGCCCATCACATACCAGAGGTGCCCATTGTCTGTATTTTCCCAGGTGTAAATTATGCTTTGCACCCTTCGTGGGAAACTTGGCATTCAAAGCCATTTTTCCTAATTGGCCACTTGAGACCAGGAAGAAGCCTACATGACCCAAGGGGTATAAAGAGGGGTTTAGTAGCCCACCCCATTTGAGCTCCAATCATCTACACCTGCTGGCAGGTATTGATTGTCTCCCGAGGTCTGTGGGACGCCCAACCTCGCCCTACTTCTTCCCAAGGGATTGAGAGAAAGACGCTGGCCACGCCAAGTCTGGAATGCAGGGGTGAGAATATATACCTGCTAGGTGTCTATTT